AAGTTCTCAGTGTGTTTACAAACTGAGTAACCCGCAGGTGAGGGGGTCCCCCACATGGCACATGGCGCTGACTGAATGCCCTCTTGGACTCACTGCTGTTTTCTGTTTAGCTCAGGATGCACATTCTTGGCACCCGGGTGCATCCCTAATGACAGGCTTAAGAACAGGGGTTCCTGACTTTTCTAAACCTTTGCTTTCTCTCTTGTGAGAGATGGGTATAAGACGAGTCTTTCTCTTTCACAAAGGATTGCTTAGTGAAACAGTATGTCTGGGGCACATTACCCAGTGTCCAGATCAGAGAAGGCATTTAACTAACATTGGCCATTGTTATTTGAACAATAGAAAAATACTTCCTACAAGCACATTCACAAATATGATCCCGTTTGATTCTCATAGTAACCTTGTGAGGTTGGGTAAGAGACACATTATTATCCCATTTTAGGGATGAAGACACTGAGACTCAAAGAATTTAAATGATTTTGCCATAAGCTTAGAGCTTGTCAGTGGCAGAGCCAGGTTTTGAAGCCAAGTTGTTGTTGACTTCTTGTCATCCTCCAAATCACAATGCTGACCAAGAAAACGTGGGGATGACTAAGGACCACCTTTCAGAACAACACAGACTGTTTATGCCAGTCATTACAGTGTAGACCAGCCCTGTCCAACAGAAATAAAATGCGAACCACAGACGGTATGTTAAATTTTCTAGTAGCCACATAAAAAAGTAAAAACAAAACAAAAAAACCCAAATAAACAAGAAAACACACAGAAGCTGATATTATTACTATATTTTATTTAAGCCGATACTTCCAAAATATTATCGTTTCAACATGTAAATCAGTATACAAAACTATTAATGAAATATATTAGTCTTTTTGTAGTAAGGTTGCAAAACCTGGTGTGTGTTTTACACGTATAGCATATCTCAGTTCACATCAGCTACCTTTTCAAGTGCTCAGTGGCCACATGTGACCAACCAGTGGTTCTTGCTTTGGACAGGGCGGGACTAGAGGTAGATGAGGCACATATTTAGGGCTCCAGAAAAGCAGGGGGTATGAAAGACAGGGGACTAAGGAAAGAGAGATAAGGATTTTTCTTCAATGAGTTTACCCAAAACCTTGCAAATTATTCTAGAAAGAAGACATTTAATATAAGCACAGGTAAAAAAATAATAATAAAATAAAATAAAATAAAATAAGCACATGTATTTTGTGGGTTAGTGTTGTTTTTATTCTGAATTACAGTAAAATGGGGATGATGAGGCGCCATAATCTTGTCCTTGATAAAGACAACAACTGAAGATCTTAATGCTGTCTGCAGGACAACGCCAATTGCAGAATAGATGAGCCAAGATGTGGCAACAGAACCCACTGTAGCTAGTTGAATCAGAAAAGCAATTCATTAAAGGATGTTAGGCGGTTCGCGGAACCTCTGGGGGAACCATAGAGTCAGTCTCATAAGGAAGAAGCCGGAAATGGTGCTCAAACTCTAGTTCCTGGCTTCTCCAGTAGCTCTGTCGCTGCCATCTCTGGCCCAGGGCACCTCGGCCTACCACCCTCCCTGAGCACAGGACACGGCTACCAGGACCTGACCAGGGCCTCCTTCCTAAATGGAGTCTGTGCGTGTATCCTAGTTGTAGAACCTGGGTCACCTTCTTGCACCATATATAGCAAGGGAGTCTGGGAAAACTATTTCCTGGCTCCCTTGTGAGGAAGAGAGACTCATAACATAAAACTACCCCAAAATTAAGATGAATAACGGGTTTCCTCATGCGTGGTGCATGTCCACTCCACAAGTTAATTGGTTTTTTCTTTTATTTTTATTTATTTATTTTTAAAGTAGGCTCCACACCCAACATGGGGCTTGAACTCACGACCCTGAGATTGAGAGTTGCATGCTCTACTGACTGAGCCAGACAGGCGCCCTGGTTTTCTCTTTTAAAAATTATTGTGAAATATATCACACAGACAAAAGTGATTATAATACGGGTACATGGTTAAATAATAACAATTATTCTTATCCTCCAGGTTAAGAAATACAGCATTATTAGTACCTTGGAATCCCTGCCCCCGTTTGTCCCTCCCTACCCATTCCAGGTGATTACAACTATTCTGACTTTTGTATCATTTTCTTGCTTTGCCTAGTGTTTAAGTTGAGATATAATTGACATGTGACATTATTAGTTTCAGGTATATAATGTAATGACTTGATACATGTACATATTGCAAAATGACCACCACAATAAGTTCAGTTAACATTCATCCCCACACATAATTATAATTTTTTCCCTTATGATAATTTTTAAGATCTACTCTCTTCGCAAATTTTTTAAAAAGTTTATTTATTTTTGGGGTGCCTGGATGGCTCAATTGGATAAGCATCTGACTTCAGCTCAGGTCATGATATCACGGTTTGTGGGTTTGACCCCCACATCCGGCTCTGTGCTGACAGCTCAGAACCTGGATCCTGCTTAGGATTCTGTGTATCCCTCTCTCTCTCTGCCCCTCCCCACCCATGCTCACTCGCTCGCGCGTGCTCTCTCTCTCTCAAAAATAAATAAACACTAAAAAAAATTTTTTTTAAAAGTTCATTTATTTTTGAGACAGAGAGAGACAGAGCGTGAGCAGGGGAGGGGCAGAGAGAGAGGGAGACACAGAATCCGAAGCAGGCTCCAGATTCTGAGCTGTCAGCGCAGAGCCCGATGGGGCTCGAACTCACAAACCATGAGATCATGACCTGAGCCGAAGTCGACCACTTAACCGACTGAGTCAACCAGGTGCCCCTCTCTTCATAACTTTTGATTGTTTTGAAATTGAACTTTTTACATTGAGATCATGTAGATTTACATGCAATTGTGTACCTTTCATTCAGTTTCCCCCAGGCATAAATTTTATAGAACTAGGGCACAGTATCACTAGCAGGATATTGAAATTGAGACAATCCACAGGTCTTTCTCAGATCCAGTTTTACTTGTACTCGTGTGTGTGTGTGTGTGTGTGTGTGTGCGCGCGCGCGCGCGTGTGTGTGTTTAGTTCCATACAACTTTATCACATGTGTAAGCTTGGGTATCATCTACCACAGATCCTGAACACTTCCATCACTACAAGCGTCCTTCGTGTTGCCCTTTTAGAAATCAACTCCTGACGACCACTAATCTTATCCCCATTTTCATGATTTTCTCATTTTAAGAATGTTATATGAATGGAATCAGATAATACATTACCTTGGGATTGCTTTTTTTAATTTAGCATAGCTCTCTAGAGATTCTTCCAGATGGTTGGTTGGTGCTTAATGGTTTTAACATGTGGGTTTGTATTCCTAAGCAAGATATTGTTTACTTTGATTAATTTTTAATAATCATTTGAATCATATTACAATTCTTCTGTAACTTGCTTTTTTTCATTCAACAATATGTTTTTGAGATTTACCATTGTTAATATGTGTGGCTGTGGGCCATTCATTTCCACTAGATGCATTTTATCACAAAACATCAGTTATTGATGTACATTCTAGTTGTGTTCAGGTTTTTATATTTTTGAATATGATGAATGACGTTACTATGAATATTCTTGTCTGTGATTCTTGGTGCAAAAGTGCAAGACTTTTTCTACATTTAAAACCTTGGTGGGGGGGGCAAAGGGTGGGGGGGGGGCACCTGGCTGGCTCAGTGCATAGAACATGTGTCTCTTGATCTTGGGGTTGGGAATTTTGAGGCCCACGATGAGTGTAGAGATTACTTAAAAATTTTTTTTAACAATTAAAAATAAATTTAAAATGAAAAAATAAAAAATGGAATGGGATTTCTGGTTCATTGAATATGTGTATGTTTAATTTTACCAGATAAAGTCAAACTCTTTCCCAAAATGTTTGAATGAATCTATATACCTATTAGCAATGCATAAACAGTCTTATTGTTCTATATCTAAAACAACACTTAGTAGTATTGTCAAACTTTTTAATTTTGCCAGTCTGGTAAACATGAAGTAGTATTTCATTGTCATTTTAATTTGCATTTTCCTGTTTACTAATGAGACTGAGCATCTTTTTATATGTTGATGGGCCATTCATGTTTTCTCTTCTGGGAAATGCCTGTTCATGTCTTTTGTCATTTTTAAAACTTATGTTACTTCTGACATTTCAGTTCATTACATAGCCTAGATTCTAATCATTTATAAGATAAATATGTTCCAAAAGTTCTCACAATGTGTGATTTAGTTTATCATTCCCCTTACCGGGTCTTTTGATAAAGTCATTCTTAATTTTTCTGCAGTCGGGTTTATCAAATATGTTCTTGTATGGTTTATTTTTTGTCCCTTAAGAAATTCTGCTCCATTGTCTGTCAACTATACTTCAATAAGATAAATAAATAGCAAACACACAAATAAACATAAATAAATAAATAAAATTCTGCCCTATCTTATGGTCATAAAGATATTCTCCATTATCTATCTATGCATATACATACACATACACTTTTAAAGGTTTAACCCACTGGAAATTGATGATATGTGTGTGCATTACTCAGTTTTCCTTATTTTTCCCCAAATGGATTACCAGTCGTTCCCATTCCATATTTGAATAGCACATCTTTCCCCACTGAGCTGTGATGCCCTCTGTCATAAATCAAAGTCCACATGCGTGTGGGTCTGTTTCAGGGCTCTCTCGTCTGTACTAGTGGTCTCCGTGTACCAGCGCCACACGATTACTAATGATATCTGATAGAGTGAATCTACACACCTTGCCTTCACAATAATGTTTTAGTTATTCTTTCATATAAACTTTAGAATAAATTTGTCAGATCTCACAAAAGGATTTTTTTTCCCGGTACATTTAAGAACTATATTCAGTCTACAGATGAATTTAGGGATTTTTAACCTCTTTTTCATTCGGAGTCTCCTAGTCTATTACTATGAAAAATCTTTCCATTGATTAATGTGTTCCAATCAAAATTTTTCTAATATTACCCACAAAGATCTTCCACAATATTAAAAAAATTTTATTTCAAGGCACTTTGTGTTTCAGTTGTAGGTCATTTTTTTCATTAGATTTTTAATTTTTCTAAATGCTATTGACATTTAGAAATGCAACTGACACACAAAGATTTCCTATAAAACAACCTTCCTAAACTCTTATTAATTCCAATCATTTATCTGTAGTTTCTTCCATTCTCCACATAGATATCATACTGACTATAAATGGTGATTGTTTTGCTTTTTCCTTTATAATTCTATAAAGGAATTATAGATTTCCTATCTTATATTTCTTTTTTTCTGTCTTGTGCCCACAAAAAAGCTGGTCTAGTGTGAAATGGAGTGATCAGAGCAGGCAGCTTGGTCTTGTCCTGGGGTGCTGGCTCCACAGGTGAATTCAGTTTGTAAAAATGTATCAAGCTGTGTACTTATGATTTGTGCATTTTTTTCTAACACTATGTTATTCTTCAACAAAAAGTTAAAAAAAAATTTTTTTTTTTTTTTAGGAATATTTCCCCAACATCCTAACCTCTCCTCATGCTCTCAGGATGCCACTGAACAGGTCTGTACCTGTCTATTTTCAACCTGACTACATATTACTGTAGAAAGGAAGTCTTAAGTGAGAACACTCATGCTTGTTTTCTTGCATTTGAAGAACTACCAGGGGGAGGGGGCACAGAACTAGTCTCCGCAGCTTTAGAGGGCAGAGTGCAGAGTGCAGAAGGGAGGTGAAAGTACAAGGAAACAGACTTTCCATTAAGCAGAAGGAAAGCTTTCCGACAGCATCGTCGTCTTACCAGAGAATAGCCTGCTTTTTGAAAAAGTGAGCTCCCAGCACTGCTAAGTATTCAAGCAGGGCTGGATACAAACCTACTAAGGACACTACGCACAGCCACCCCCCTCCCCCAGCCAGTGGAGCGGTGGGGGCGGGGAGTGGGCCGGATCACTGCTTCTGTCTCTTTCAACGCCTAGCTTTGAGATTTTTAAAGAATTGAGTTTATTTCTTATCCTATGTTGGGGGGATGCTTGCTTTATCAGCTCCGTAGAAAGCTACTTAGAAAACTAACCTTAAAATAAAGAAGAGTCAACAAAAGCAAAACGGACTGCTCCAAGATGTTAGTACTATTGATAAACCCCTAAGTCCGATCAAGAAAAAGAGAAAGATAACACATTAGAATCCCCCCCCCAAACCAGCCAGCAAGTGCGCCTCCAACAATCTTTGAATGCAAGTGTACTTTATTCTTATTTTTTATTCCGAATCCCCCAAACCTTGCACTGCTTCTCGAGGTTTCTAGCCTTATTAGTCTGTCATTCTACAGCCTTTTCAGATAAAGGACAAAGTGGTTCAGGCACTCATTGATTTGAAATCCGGTAAGAGAAAAAAAAAAATCTGTTAATGGGGCTGGCTGACTTTTTCATGAAATCAGGAATTTTGAACGAAGGGAAGTTCTAAAGATTTTTATTGAGATGGGAGGTGATTCTGTGATTTCACAGTTTTACTTTATTTTACTTTCATTCCACCAAGCTCCTTCTTTCCGAAAATCTTCAGTTTGTTGGTAGGTAAAATACATCCTCAGAGTCTCCCAGAAGCTGCGCCATCAGCCTTAAAGACTAAAAAGAAGCCTCGCTTCCTTGTGCCGCTATAGAAATGTCTTCCTTCTCCACACCCGGCTTAACCGGATCAAAGTCTTTTTCATTCTTCGTTGATTGTTCTCAGAAAATCTGGAGTCCAGACAGGCTTGAGCCAAGACAGGGTGACCTCTTGAGGGCAGACCCCGAGGCATGGCGCTTCTCTTCCCTTTGCAGACCCAGGAGAGCTGCGCCCCCTCTCCGTGCGCGGAAAGAGTACTCCAGCCGAGCCGAGAAATCCGTTACCAGGCTGCTGTGTCCCCAAGGGCCATTCCAGGGCGGAAGAGGACGGGGAAAACCGCTGTGTCGATTCCTCGGCCCTGTGGGCCGGGCGCGCAGCGGGTCGGGTTACAGACAGGTGAGTCTGGCGGATGGGCGAGCTGCGGGCGCCAGGGAGCTCCTGGCGAGACGCGCCCCGGCAGCCCCCGAGCCCGCACGAGTCTGCTCACCCACAGGAGGGGTGCGCCCACCGCAGCGGTGGAGGCAGTGCTGCGCGTCCCCGGGCGCACCGAGCAGGGGCCGTGAGAGGGACAGCGCGCGCCCCAAACGCCGGCACTGCTGGTCTCAGAAACTTGGCATCTTTCTCTTACCAACTCCTCTTCCTTCTCTCCCAACTCCCCCTCCGCGAATAAAGCCCGAGAGGAAAAACCAAAACCAAAAATAAATACAAAGCTCTCCAGCCACCTCCCCAGTAGCAGCCCGTCTTCATTTACTGGGAAAGGTATTTCCCAGCCTCTGATTTCGGGGAGCGGGCAGTTAGGCGAAGACTGTAATGGGAGTGGGCACGGATAAGAGATTTGTTTCGGAGCTGCGTTTGCATAACAGGCGCTCGGCTTTTGTTTCCATTGTGTGTTTATTTGGGTTGATGAGGCTCTTGGGGTGGTAGGTCTTGGGATGGAAGCTGCTTTAGCAGAGCAAGCCGACTTGTTTTCCCCAGATTGTGTGGCACAGATCAGTAATAACGACGTGTTCTAAAGCTGCCGAGCTTTAAGTCATATTATTACTGTGCTTATTTGGGGGGGGGGG